CCCGCCCGCCCCACCGCCTGCAGCCCGGTGCATTGCGCTGGTCAGTGCCAAAGCGGCGTTGCCAAACCTGCGCACCTGCGAAGGTACCTTCGCGGACGAAAAACTCGCGACAACGCCTCAGAGGGCGCGAGTAATATGGTGCACGTGCTCGTCGTCTACTGTTTTTCGCTGGCCTTAAGTCGTCTGTGATCCGTTGTGCATACGGACTGTGCGGTGCGGGTAAAACCATGTAGTGAAGTTTGACTAAAAAGTAGTAGACGATTATCACAGATAAAATGAGAGTTGTTGCAGTGGACCTCCTCATCGGGGGCCTTCAGCGGAGCCAGCCGCTAGCACACAATAATTTTTCGCTCACTCGTGGGCGAGCTGCTATATAGCAGCACTGGCGAGAGGCTTCGACGGGGAGAGGGGTAGGGGGGCAAAAGGGGCAATTGTCCGATTGCCCCCCCCCCTTCCTTTTCCCCCTCACCATCCGCCCTGGCTCCATGCCAGGGGGCCTCCTCAGTGCAGGAGCGTTGGCCTGGCGCACAGCGCTGGGCGGTTGAGTTGCGCCCGCTGCAACCGCCGCTGCAGGCCTCACCCACCGCGCCCACCAGCGGCTGCAGCGGCAGGCGGTGCAGCTTACAGGCCTCTGGTATCGACCCGCCGGGCCCCGGCCCGGGCCTCCAGCCTCCAGGCTCGGTCCAGCCCGCTGCGCAGCCCGCTCCAGCAGGGGCGTATCCAGCAGGGGAAGAGGGGCACACCACACCACACCGCTGCTCTGCCAAAACAGGCGCGGACGGAGAAGATTTTTAAACGTTTAAGCGATTCTCCTGGCCGCTTCGTACTCCAGGGTGGTCTCCTGCCATCAACCCCTTTTGCCTGGTACTCTCCAGGCGGCACATGGTGCCCTCTCCAGCTAGGGTGCTGGCCTAGAGTGGAGGCAATCCCGGCGCGCAGCCCCGTGCAACTGGACTGCCTACCTGCCAGGGGCCCCGGCAGCTCGGGTAGGAAGCCGCCTGCAGAGTAGGCAATCCCGGCGCGCAGCCCCGTGCAACTGGACTGCCTACCTGCCAGGCGCCCCGACAGCTCGGGTAGGACGCCGCCTGCGGAGTAGGCAATCCCGGCGCGCAGCCCCGTGCAACAGGACTGCCTACCTGCCAGGGGCCCCGGCAGCTCGGGTAGGGCGCCGCCTGCAGAGTAGGCAATCCCGGCGGGCAGCCCCGTGCAACAGGACTGCCTACCTGCCATGCGCCCCGACAGCTCGGGAAGGACGCCGTCTATAGAGTAGGCAGTCCCGGCGTACAGCTCCGCGCAACAGGACTGCCTACCTGCCAGGCGCCCCGACAGCTCGGGTAGGACGCCGCCTGCGGAGTAGGCAATCCCGGCGCGCAGCCTCGTGCAACAGGACTGCCTACCTGCCAGGCGCCCCGACAGCTCGGGAAGGACGCCGCCTACAGAGTAGGCAGTCCCGGCGTACAGCTCCGTGCAACAGGACTGCCTACCTGCCAGGCGCCCCGGCAGCTCGAGTCGGACAGACCCACCACGGCGCGTGAGGGGGTTTCTGTACCCGGGACGTCAATACACGCGAAAGAAGGGCGTCACAATCACGCCGCACTCACGTCAATGGGACTTACTTCAATTTGATCACGATACTTGGTCACAAAATCTAGGCTAAATCTCTTTTTGACGTCACAATGATGTGAATTCCCTGTTCGTGACGGGATAGTATGAACAAGAAGCTGAAATGCAAAATGGGGTGGGTGCTGCGTTGGTTTGGTGTCCGTCGACCGATGTCGCAGGTAAGTACGATCAGTGTAGTCAAAATAGTCTGTTACAAAACTATTTGTATTCTTTATTACTTGTGTTTAATGTACAGAAAATCGTCGCAAAACTTCACCAATAGGCTGTCCGCGCCGCCAAATACGGGGTTGCAGCGGAGCTCCTGGAGTCGCGGCGTCCTCAGGCGCACCGGCCACTGGCAGCCGTCCCTGACGCCGCCAAACAGGTGCACCTGCTCAAGAGTGGCCGAGTGGGTGGAGAGAAGCTTGAGCAGCAGCGACGCGTTCATACCCCCATAACAGTGGGACACGAGAGAAGTGAGAGAGGCAGCAACCTCGAGACTGGAGACCTCTTCGTCGTAGTCACGGTCCAGGGGCAGGTCCAGCTCCAGCTCTTGGACGATCCCCGAGGTGGTAACGATGGTCTTTAGCAGGTCCACACAGGCTTTATCGTCAATTGGGCCTTCAAATGAGGCCATTAAAGCAAACTCAGGGCTGGAGATCTCGTTGAAATAATCAAAGTCGTAATAGCCAAAGTCGTCATAGTCCGGGAGCAGGTCCAGTTCCAGGTTTCTAGCGTGCTCAGATGTGGAAACGATGGTCTCTGGCAGGTCCACACGGGCTGTATCATCAATTGGGCGTTCGAACAACCTCATTCTCATTATAGGATCCTCCAAGTGGGAAGGGCCGCTGGCCACGCGCAGCTTCTGGAGGCGCCCCAATGCAGCCTGGTTACGCACAGCTGACATCACCAGCAGGGCCACCTCTTCTTTAAGATACACAGGGTGCGAGTAGAACTGGATGTGCAGCTCTTCCGCCGCGCAGGGGGTCTCCGACACCTCTCTTATCTCAGTAATGCACCTGGGACCTGCACCAGCGAAGACGTTGATCCTGATTTTCCCGACGCGGGGGACCAGGCGTAGCAGCACTCGCAGGGGGCCGTAGTCGGAGGCGACGCAGAGGTGGCGCCACGCGTTGGCGTGCAGCGCCAGCCGGGACAGGCGTCGGCACAGCAGGCGGCAGCGGAGCAGCGAGCGAACGTCGAGCAGCCGCAGCACCCTCAGCAGGACGCGGTCGGGCAGCCCGAGGAGCTCCATCTGCAAGAGGAGGGCGACATTGCACGCTGGAAAAATAAACGTGCAACGGAAAATCATTTCCTTGATGAAGAACATTTTTTGTCTTATTTGAAGAAATTTTAACGTTGAAAGACAAAAATCCCTTGTGTTGAAGATTTTCCTTCAAATTGAAAGAAATTTTCACTATTAAAAAAGAAAAACACTTCGTTATGTTATGCCTTGCACTGCCTTGACCGAGGCCTTGACAAGAAAAAAGGCACTAAAACTGCCAAAGCCACTAATATTTAGCACCTTTGAGAAGGCACTATACTGAAAAAAATCTTTAGCACAGCAGTCTTGGAAAGGCACGGCACGACTTGGCTTGGCACCTTTGTTTTTCCAGTGCAACCACTAGACGGCCGCACAGAATGCTGAAACGTGTTACAGGCAGTCCCAACGTGAAAAAAAAATACATAGACAGTGGTCAGTGGTGCTTCATTTTGAGAAGTTCGTCGCATTTGACAACAACTTTGTACAAAATGCTAAGTAGCACCACAGTTTCTTCCAGAGGCATTGACGAGGGGTTTTGCGGGGCAGGGAGGGGGTGAGGAGAACGGGGGGCGTATGGAAAAGTTACTCCGGTCTCACGACGGGCGTGCAGCGCGGGGCCGAGAAAACAACAAAAATAAAATAATAACTAGCGGGGGGAAAAACAACAACACGAAAAGAGAACGTAGTGGTGCTGCGCTGTTTCTACTGAGAGCCAGAGAGAGAGAGAGAGAGAGAGAGAGAGAGAGAGAGAGAGATGAGGTTGCGCGGATGAAATTAGGGAGAGAGGTAGAGGGAGAGGAGAGAGAGAGAGAGAGAGAGAGAGATACGCGACGCGTACTGCGCGCCGAGACCAGGGAAGGGGAAGGGGGCAACGCCCATAGCCCCCTCCCTTCCTCCGCAGATCCGAGGAAATAGGAGAGCGGGGGCTTACCCCTTGTCCCCCGCCCTGCTCCCCGCCGCTCCCCGCACTCCCACGTCGCCTCGCATAGACCTTGGTCAGTGATGAAGAGATCCCCCCCACTCCCCTTCCGAGCCGGCTGTTAGACGAATTTTATTATTGTTGTTGTTTGTTGACTTCGGTATTGTTGTCTTCTTTCCTCCGATCTGAAATGCATGAAGCACAACGAGCAGCGGCGCAACGCCAAACAAGCGCCAATTTTTGAGCGCGCGGCCGCACCGCGGAGTGCGCGAGTATCTTTGCTGAATCTCCCCGCCCCCTCTCTCCCGCATCTCGTCCGTCTTGCCCCCCTCTCCCCTACCCCCCCTGCCCCTCTCTCTCTCTCTCTCTCTCTTCCGTTTCGTATGTCCCTCTCCCCTTCCCTTCCTCTCCCTGGTGTACCATGTTGCCGCCCGCTCTGTGGGACGCCTAGGGAAGCCATAAAGGGTTCACTGACCCGCGCCGACGGTGAGAGAGAGAGAGAGAGAGAGGCGCGGGGGGGAAAGAAATGTCGAGATAGTGTAATGGAGTAAGAGAGGAGTTTGAGGGTTAAAACAGAGGGAAAATGGAAAAGAACCCTGTCGAGTGGTCTTTCCACCTCGCCACTGGACACTGCTGAACGCAGTATCTTTGTACGAAGGCTGAACATGCAAGATTAGGCCGATCCTTCAGAACGCACGCAGAAAAAAGCCTGGTTGACTGAAGTTGTCATTTCATTTTCTTATTTTTTGTTTGTTTTTGCGAGCACGCTTAGCATAGGCTAACTGAGAGGGGCTAACCCAGTTTTTAGTTTGGTGGTTGCACAAAGCAGCTGCTAGAGATGTACTGCATGCAGGCGGGTTGCCCATACTCCTACTGGTTCTTTAAGCAGGGACCGTGCTGAGCAGCGGTAGGTAGGCTATGCAGGAAAGATAATACATAATACAAACTACAGATGAAAAGTACAGTCACAAAATATATTGTGGTGGTCACAAAGTCACAACGTGTACTCGCGGGTATTCTCCTGACAGTTTCCTTGCCGTGCTGCTCTACCGCCCCGCCCCGCAGCAGCAGCGGCGGCGGCAGCGGCGTGGCGCGCGAGGGGCAACGCGTCTGGCAGTGGGGTAGGTCAGTTCCCCCCTCGCGTCACGATCTGCCCCTCTCCCCCTTCCCCTCCCCGCGGTGCCGCTCGCCGCCGCTCGCCCGGCGCCCCCCCCCCCTCTCCTTCCCCTCGGCCGCCCCTGCCCGCCTCAACCGGCGCCGCGCCGCGCCGCCAGCCCAGTCCTCCACAGCGCGGCGCCCCTGCGCGTCGGTGCCGCGCCGGCCCCGCGCCCCGCCCGCGGCCCAGCCCCTCCGAGCCCCCGCACCGCCCGCGCGCGCGCGCGCGCACCCGCGGCGTGCCCGTCAACGACCGCGTCGACGGCCACCTCGTGTCCGGGGCCGCCGCACCCAGAGAACCATTTAGTTGATACAACTAAATCAGGGTTGTAAGAAACAAAATTTAGTTCCTAAAACCGACTAAAATTTAGTAACCCCATTTTTAACTAAATATAGTCGCACCAATCAAATTAAGTCATGTAGACCAAATTATTTCATCGCCTTGAATAAATTTTAGTCCCAAAAGCTAAAATTTCGTCGGTTTTGAATTTGGTTCTATGGACTAAACGGTCTTCAGGGTGCGCGAGCTCGCCGCCGTCGCCCCACCGCGTGCCGTGATCGCCCTCGACAGCCACTTCACCCTGGACTTCCTGTAGTGAACGCGACCATCTCCGGAACGCACTAGTCCTTTAGCATTTACTTTTCCAAAAGAGAAAAATAGCACTTGCAAAAATTGGAGCTTTTACCTTGAAGTAATTACATTTAAAATTGTCAACACTTTCAATTTTAAAAATGGGCAATGACTGTTGCAGTTCCGAAAGCCAAGTGTATGGAGCGCAGCAGCGCTCTGTCGAAACCGCAATGTGCCGAGAGGCACCAGCGAAAAATAGGATCTACATACATGAACAAAAGTTCAAGTTCGTCGCTTGAGTTCAACGAAATTCTCATTGAAGTTCATGAACTTCGGCCAAAGACCGTAATGTGAACGTTCGACTAAAGTTAATCGCGCTAAAATCCACCAATGACCAGAGAAGGTCGTTGAAGTTTTTCAAAATTCTTGCACCGAAGCCCAATCGAAGTTCAAACATTGAACACACCGAAGTTGAAGCCTGCTTCCCCTTTAGAGGCGCCTGCCGACTTTCACGCCGGTCGTGGCGATATCGCGCGGAAGTTGCCGCAACTTCCCGTCTCCACCGGACTTCACAACTTCCCACCCTCCCCTTGGACGCACCGCATCGACTAGGGTCCGGGCCCGAAACTTCAACCGAATATATGAGCCATTACTCGCGTCAGATATTAGATACCCTGCTATAAACTCTACCAAAAGAGAATGGGTCTTTCTTTAAATTTTAACAGTGTAGGAATGCCATGGGGAAAATGTTTAGGAGGCCTGCTCTGTCTTCATAAATACTGGTTGACCAAAATACACCTGACGACATTGGACCGTCGAAACTGCTATGAGGATCTTTCAGTGGTTTATGCTGCAATACACGTCGTCACAACGGTTTTCTCCACAGCCAGTTGTCTAGAGAGTATAGGTGAGTAATTGTCGTCTTTGCTAATTTATTGTTGTTACTTGAGTTTCTTTTTTTTTTGGGGGGGGGGGGATCTTTCTCAAGCGCACTGTACAGAGTACCAGTGGCGGGTATCGAGCCGACCCATATCAGTCCTGTTGCGTACGAGGGAAGAGAGGTGGGGGAGGGGATGGGGGAGGTATGGGAGGAGCACACTCAAAATGTTTTCGCGCTGAGCAGGAGGAGGAGAAAAATTATAGCAAAAAAAATGAATGGCTGCATTTTTGAACCAGCAAGCAAAGCCCCGTCTCATAATAACGCCCCGACACCCTCTCTCAAGTCTCACAACCGGTGCGTTGCGGAGGGACGCTCCCTTAAAAGGGACAGAGTTATGGACGCTTTGACTGCCGCGAGAGACAGCAGAGGGGCATATAGGAAAAGGATGGGGGCGAGGGGAGGGAGGAGCGGATGGGGAGAGGGGGGGGGGAGGGGGCTAAAATAATTCCGTCTGGGCTGCAGTGCGAGCGAGTGGGTGGTGCACTTGACTGCCATTGCGAGGTTATGGCTTGCCATTACGCCTTCCTCTCATTGTCCCGCGTGCACGGCAAAGAGTCGTCGTCGCGACCATCAAGCGATTTAAAATGCACGCACGCTGCCGCCATTTCATGTAGCTGCCGGATATTGGCGCAGAAGAGGAGGTATGGCCGGCGGGAAATAAGGCCCGACTAAAAGCTGTTTAGTGGGTACAAAACAAATGGGCAGAGACAAAAGTCGTAAGTTATGCGCGCTGTCTATGTGGTTTCCTTTTTTATTTTTCTTCTTCGGATTCGTTGCTCAGAGATACGACGACGAGCAAAGGCAAAGGCCTGCGGCCTGAACAACGACCGCCAGCAGAACCTGCCCGGTGCCACGGCCGCGCCGAGTTGCATCAAGCAGACCAAAGAGAAACGAGCAAAAATAGTGAAGTAAAATAAGAAAAGAGAAAACGTAAAACGACAAGTAAAGATGCGGCTCGCTGCAGCTGGCTGGAGGAGTCCGGGCGGCGGCAGCGAGCGCACCACGGCAACAGCGGAGGGAGACTTGTCGCATTATGTATCGATGGTCATTACAGAGAGTGAGGGAGAGGGAGAAAGAGAGAGAGAGAGAGAGGGGTAGGGGGGGTAGGGGAGAGGGAGGATAAGACGACCAGGGCAATGCATCGCTTCTTCGGCGAGGTCAACCAGAGACTTTGTGCAGCCGCGGTGCAGCGAACCGCGAACACGGAGGTGGAGGAGGAGGAGGAGGAGGAGGAGGAGGAG